TGCTGAAATATGATTGGATAAAAGCTCTAATATAAACATACACTATTGAACGCAGCGCAACCAAGAGAAAAGCTATGAAATGAAGAGAATAGACTACTGGGAATAATTTAATACACAATACACATTCATGGAAAAAATATATTAAAACTAAGTCAGTGATTCTGATCGTGTTTAGGCCAGCAGAGAAGGCCTTGATGGCCCTGACGGCCCACCACTCTTAAAGATTCAGTTTCAAGTAAATGCTGTTCTTTTGAATTTTCTATTCATCAAAGTATCCTGAAAAGAATAATCACTGTTTTCAACATTGATAATAATAAAAAAATATTTCTTGAGCACCAAATTAGCATAGGAATAAATTACATGTTAAAATGTATTAAAATAGGAAAGTTATTTTATACTGTATTTTAATAACATAGTATTACTCTTTACAGTATTTTTAATCAAATAAATGCAGAATTGGTGTGCGTCAGATTATTTTTTCAAAAACATTAAAAACTCTTACCCAAACATTCGAATGGTAGTATATAAACACATAATATATAATTATAGTAATGTGATGTAGTGTTATAATATACACATGAGTTATAATATACAGTTGGTCAGAAGACAAGTGTGTTGATAGAGCTTTTCCTTGCATATACAGCTGCAGAACCAGGATGCCATGAGGCAGATGCTGCGACAGGCAGAGCAGGAGATCTCAGAGAGGTTTTCAGACACTGTGCTGCACCTTGAGGACCCTGTTCATAGACAACGAGTCCAGGTGGAAGAAGAAAGACACAGATATCTGGGCATGGAGGAGAGAGTTCTCGTGCAACTCGGGTAAGACAATAGGACAGCGATTTTTATGGGACTACTGATCCTGTTAAGACCTTGACATTAATTACCGATGATGAATTCATTATGGACTGGTCATCTGTAGAATGTGAGAGACAGCTGTAGACGAACAGAACAAATGCTGCAATCTAGAGGGGTAAATCAGTGCACTGATTAGCTTCTGCAAATGAGCCAGATTTGATGCTGATTAACTGCTCATGTCTGATCAAAGCTGAATTTTCCCAGATCCCCCATACTAATTAATTATAATCCCATGCCTCCACTCAATGCTGAATGCACACTTTAATAAACAAAGACCAGTGTAGGTTTTTAATAGATGTGAACTGAGGGGATTTTTACATCATTAGTGCTGTACTGAGTATTTTTCTAAAAACCCATTTGGTGGTGTAAACCTTGGTAAAGTATAACTAGTCATACCTACATTTGGTGGAGGTGTGTGTGATTGCATGAAACAATGCAGTGAATAATCCACTGTCCCAACCTGTCTCAGAAGAATAAGGCCTGTGAATGTTTCTTTGTGTTTCCTGTCACGATGAATATGTGCTATCCTGAAGGGGAAATATAAGTCAGATTGCTTCAGAAATAAGTCTGTGTTTAGTCACATTGTGCATGAAACCAAGTGTTGGTATTAAATTGTTAGCTAAAACTAAAAAGCTATAAAATATCACTTGAAAAAGGCTAGAAAATCACTTAAAATATAAAAAATGTGTATGTTATCTGAAACTGAAATATAATATTAGATTTAAAAAAACAAACCTAGAAAACATGAACGAAAATTAGGAATGTTGCTTTATCACCTAACTGAAATAAAAATAAATGAAAGCTAAATAGAAATATTTAAATAATTATAATGACAGAAGCACAACAAAATTACTAACTAATTAAAATGAACGCTAAAAATATAAAAACAAAAGCTAATACAAAATATGAATAAACACACTATATTAGTACATAAATAATAAAAAAAATTACAAAGCATTTTATTCCAGTGACCAACAAATACCAGATTATACAAATAATAAC